CCGCCGCCCGGAGCCCGGCCCCTGCCGCCAGCCAGCCGGTGGGGAAAGCTCAGCCAGGGCCCACCGCAGCCACAGGTCCCCAGTCTGCAGGACCAGTAAGTAGAGCCCCCTGGGGCAGGGTGGGAGGGGTCTGGAGTGTGAACCTTCCTGTGTCTCTAACCCCCCCACCACGTGCAAGCACAGTGCTCCTCCCCCGCCTCTGGGCGAGGGGGTCGTGGGGGGCCCACAGGTGGCATCTTAACTGTGTGCTTTGTGTTGCAGCCTCGGGCAGAGCAGGCGGACAGCACTAAAGGGACAGCCAAAGCCCCGCCACAGGGGAAGCCACCCCAGGCTCAGCCGCCTCCAGGACCTGGACCCACAGGTGAGCCCATACCCTGCTGCCCAGAGGACCTGGGTGGGCTGACAGCCAGCCCTCTTGCACCCTGAACTACCCCGACCCCCACCCGGTGGGCGGCAGACCTCCCCAGCAGGAAGCCAACCTGAGGGTAGAGTTCTAGGACCAGAGTGAATCAATGGGTCACATCCTGGGCAGCTCTGGGCAGAGACCCAGGAGGGACCCGTGGGCCCAAGGTCCAGACCATGGCTCCTTCCTTCCCTCCCTTCCCCTCCCGCACCTGCTAGTCCTCCCTGCGCCTTCCTCACCCTCCTGTTTCTTGCCACCCTTTTTCTCCCTGTTTTGACCTTCCTCCCAGCACTCCTCCATCCCCCTCATAAGGTACCTGGGCTCCGACTCCCTCACCCACCCTGACCCCGCTTGGCCCCTCACAGTGCTTTCTTGCCCCCTAGGCGTGAAGACCGGAGCCAAGCCCAGTGGGCCCCCAGGGGCTCCTGCTGGCCAGCCAGGTGCCGAAGGGGACAGCGTGTTCTCCAAGATCCTCCCTGGGGGGGCAGCTGAGCAAGCCGGCAAGCTGACGGAAGGTATGCACTGCCCACGGGCAATTTCTAGGCTCAGCCACCATGCCACAGGGCAGCCTGAGGACTCACCTGCCGCTGCCCAGGGTCCTCAGGGGGCCCCTCGGCTGAGCCTGGCCGTGCCCAGATGGCCCTGAGTAGGAGGGGTCTGGCCGGCTTCCCTGATGTCAGTCTTCTCTTTCCCTGGCACAGCCGTCTCTGCTTTTGGCAAAAAATTTTCCTCGTTCTGGTGACCTGGCCGGCAGGGTGAGTGTGAAGGGCCTGCCCTGGCCTCCTTGGGAAATGGGAGTGGGGGGTGGGAGCTGGACATCCCAAGGGATTCCTTGGGAGGGTTCTAGCCCTTAGCCTGCAGTGGGGCCAGGGATGTAGTGTCCTCCCTCAGGAGTGTGAGGGAGGACTCCGTCGAGGGGCACTGAGCTCTGGGCCCCCAGTGGGAGTCCGGCTCAGTAGGGGTCCCAGCAAAGGGGAGCCAGGGCCAGCATTGCCTTGCCCTTCCCCACCACCTCTTCAGCCCACCCCAGAGCAGGGTGGGTGTCCAGCTGCCCCCGGGTCCCCTGGGATGGCACTCCTCGCTGAGTCCCCAATGCTCCACAGGCATTCGCAGAGACGAAGGAAGCTGATGTCATTGCTGTGGGAAAATCTCTGGAGCCTGAGGCCTGGACACCGCTCTGGACTCTGCGTATAACGGTGAGCATCAGGGCGGAGCGCTGGGGCGCAGGGGCGGGTGGGCATGGGTGAAGTGCTGAGGCCGTGTTGGCCAGACCCGCTCAGATGCAGCATGTGTGAACTGGGTGGGGCCTGGTGGGCCACACAGCTTCCTGGGAGGCTGGGCCCCCCAATCTGGCTGAGATGCTGGCAGATAGGAGAAGGCACAGAAGTAGATGTGCCCACAAACCAAGGTCTGCATGCAGGGGCCTCTGTCCAAAGCCATCTAGGAGTAGAAAGTGGGGGAGTGGGGAGCACACCCCTTCCCCAACACCTTTGTGCCAACCAGTCATGGGAACCTGGAGTCCCGAAACTGGCAGAGCTCAGTGGCTCTGAGCAGGACACGAAGACATCACCGGCTGCATAGGCCGCGCTCTCAGTCAGAAGATGGAAGACAGGTAGAGAGGGGGGAGGCAGAGAAGACGGAGAGCCTGCGCCCCAGACTAGGTCAGCCCAGGGAGAGAGTAGCAGGACCTTGGGTGGGAGGCCTGGCTCCATTTGCACCGCAGGGGCCAAGGCAGGGTGGGAGGCCACCTCTTGGGGCTTCCCCTGGCCTGGCTATGCCTCAGAAAGAGGGGAGAGAGTCCAGCGTGCCAGGAAGGGAGGCCTGCCTCTCAGAGTCCTTTAGACAGACAGGACTCTGGGCTCGCCCCTGCCCCATCCTCTGCCATCTCCCTGCTCTCGGTGGCCAGGTATATTATGCATGTGGCATCTGTGGCTGAGGCCCGGCTGCAGCCAGCCAGGTCTCTCTGAGGGAGCCCTTGGCCGGCAGGCAGCCCAGCTCCAGGGCAGCCCCACCCCGCCCCACCCTGCCCACTCAACAAATGTCGGTCAAATCCTAGCTGGGTGCTGGGGCACAGCAGGGGAAAAATCAAGTCCTGGCCCCTCCAAAACTGGCAGTCCATTAAGGGACAAAGAATAAATCAGTTTTTAAATTTTAAAAAAATGATATCTGACGATAAGCAGTTCTGTGAAGCCAGGGGCGCTGGGCTGTGTTGGGGGTGGGCCAGAGAAGGGGGCGCCAGAGAAGGGGGTCCGAGCTGCTCAGGTGGAGGCAAGGTGGCCTTGGGACATGCCCAGGTGAGGTCCTGAACCCAGGATGAGGCTGGGGGCCTGTGACAATCAGCACAGCTCGAGCCCCAGTGGTGAGGGTCAGGAGGGAGGTTGGGGCAGGGGCTGGCTTCGATGGGCATGGCAGGTACAAGCAATGATCCCCAGATTGCCCACAGCGCAGTGCCCACCGGTGCTCTTCCTGCCTTTGCCCCACGTTTCCTCTGAGCTGCACCGGAATGAGTGGATGTCAGAGCAGAAGCTGTGCCCGGGCCAACCGCGCATGGACCAGACCAGAGCAGGGCACTGTCGCAGGGAGGGGCAGGGCGGAAAAGGCACCGTGGCTGTGTTCCGGTTAGAGGAGTCTCCCTCCAGTTTGGGCAGTTGGCTGATGACTGAGCCACATGGTCAGCATCGTAGGGGGTGGCGTCTCGTGGCATCCCATGGCACCCGTGGCTCTTTAGAAGTGGCCTGGGAGCAGCCTGGCAGGGAAGGTCTTGCCATTTCAACAAAAGCCTACACTTCACGCGCTCCCCGAGAAGGAGACACAGCCTGTGTGATGTGAACGTAAAGGCCCACCCTGACCAACCTGGCTCTTCTTTCATCACCCCTGTGACCCCACCCCCCCAGGCCCATGGGGGTGGGCTGGGGGTGGATCCCCTCTGCCCCTCTGGCCTCAGTGGCCCAGCAGTCCGTGGGGAGGAGCTGGGTTGGCAGGCACTCAGCCTCAGGGTGGAAAGCAGCCGTCCATAGTTCTTGACAAAGTCCTTCTCTCTTTCCTCCCTGCCCCTCTTCCCCTCTCTCTCCTGCCCAGCACCCACAGTCTGGCACACCCGGCCCCCAGGACTCACACCGGGTGGGGCGAGGCGGGCAGGCTCCTCGAGTAAGGACAGGATGCTTTCCCAACAGTGGCTGCCCGCGGGAAGCGCTTGCTGAACTGGCGAATGAGACCACTGGCCCAGGGGCCCCATTGCCTTTCCGGAATCCTGCTGGACACCCCCTCTCCGGAAGCCCCGCCCCCGGTGGCCCTGCCGCGCCTCCCACAGCCTCCTTTTGGCGTGAGCACGGCCTGGCCGGCCAGGCTTCCATTGCGTTATACACAGAGTTTGGGCACACGCTGCCCGTTCCCGACAGACACTGCCCTCCCTCTGCGATGCCAGAAGTTTTTCCACAGCCTTGGAGAGGGGCATCCAATCGACCGAGGGCTGGGGGCCCTGGACTCCGTTTCCTTCACATTCCAGCTGGCCCGGACCCCTCTGTGACCAAAGGGCCCTGCCCCTCACCCACCTACCCCCCGCTCTGTGGATGACCATGAGCAGACCTCCGTGTGGCCAGGGTGGGGTTGGGAGAGCTTTACAAACACTAGGACCTAACACTGTCTCTTCACTGAAACAAGAGGCCATAGCACCGACAAGCAGCATGGGTGCCAGCTGAGGCTTCTCCCAGCCTGTGGGTGGCAGTGGGCCCAGGCGCCTGCCACCATCTCTAAGCCATTCCTCCACCCCCGGCCGTCATCAGCGCCCCGGTGGTGGTTCTACCACTGTCTCCTCTTGACCAGCCGGCTCTCCGTCCGTCCGTCCGTCCACCTGGGGATTTCTTTTGATTTCAAGAACAGCCTTAATCATTCCAGTTTAATTTACGTGTATACCTCATGAACATTTTTCTTTGGTCCCTTGTTCCTCCCCTTTCTGCTTGCCCCCTCGGCCCCTCTCTCTCCACCTCTACCTTGCAGCTGAAGGTTTGGTTTCCTCTCTGCTCTGCCCCTGCTGCGCATGCACGGGGAGACGTTGACTCAGAAGCAATAGTGGGCAGCAGCCACCAAGAGCACAACCCCAGGGCGCGGTCTGGGGGCGGCCCCTCAGCCCACCTGTTTACTGTGCGACCCCAGCCCTTTGTAAGCCATCTCCAGTGGGCGTGCTCAGAACAGAGGGGCCAGGGCTGCTGTCAGCCCAGGGAAGGGCCCGGCACCTTGTGCAGGGGAGCAGGGCACTGGCCACCTACCTGGTGGGCTGGATGCATCTCCCCTTCCCCACACACACACATGCCCCAGGGCCCTTCCCTGGGCTGGGGTGGGGTGATGCCACCCTCCAACTCGGGCACAGCCACACAAATCTCAACTCTTAACGTTCTATGCAATGAAATATAAACCCTCAAAGACAACTGTTAATATTTAATAAATTCCTTGTTACATATAAGGATTTAATTGCAGACATGCAATTGAGAAACTGGATAGATATGCTCATATCCCACTCCTGGCCTCCACCCCAACCCCCACTGTGTGTGTGACGTTCTCAGTCTGTGGCATGTTTGACCTGTAGCGGGACTCGCTGCTGCCCGGTGAGTGGCCACCTGCCCCACAGCGCAGCAGGCACAGCTCGCAGCCGCTTTGCACGATTTCATCCATTCAAAATGCTCGCCCCTCTCTCTTGGAGTTCTTTTTGCCTCCGAACTTCTCCTTCAGGAGTGCTGCTAGCCGCTGTCTGCACGAGCTGTTGAGGGCCGGCCTCAATGAGTACTGAGCGGGGCAAACTGTGGGGCAGGCGGCCCGAGGCCTCACTTCTCCCACACCCCACAGGTCTCTCTGTCCAACAAAGCCAGGCGAGAAGGTGCTGGGGGCCAGACACGCCGCAGGAGCCCCCACAGGCTGTGTGTCCGTGAGTGTTTTGGAAGTGTGCTGCAGGGCTCCTAGCTGCCTCTTGTTGCTCCTTCTGCCTCAGCCCCGAGCCAGGGCCTGCCAGTTGCCCCTTCCTCCCCCAGGGGGGCCGGCCTGGTTGTGTTCTGGAGATTAGACCCAGCTCCCGGCTGGACTGGACGCATTCCATGCCTCTTCCCTGTGGCTGGGAGGCTCAAAGGTCTTTGGGCCAGGAGATCTGGCCCAGGGCCAGGGCTCAGAGCAGTGTTCAGGACAAACGGGGTGTTCTGCCCTTATGTTGAGGACTGCTGACAACGTCATCTGAGACTAGCACAGACGGACCGTTGACATGATACAGTGGCTTCCAGGCTGAGTTTCCCAGGAAGCTTCTTAGTGACAGAACTTAATTGAAGGGTCCTGGGTGGTCCTCTCTGTATCTGTCCCCAGGATCTGTCTCCCCTGCCCACCCATCTGCAGCGCTAATATTCTACTGCTTGTTCACTTCTCTGCCCCCGAGCTAGGAGGGCAGCAGCAGCAGCTGCCCGACCCCTCGAAGCCTGGCTCTCCTCCAGAGCGCTCTGGTGTGGCATTTCTCAGGGGCCCAAAATTTTCACGCTCTCCTATGTGGTCTCCACGCCCTTTTGGAAGGCTTCCTGGTCCCCCTCTGGCGACTCGGCTGACACTCCAGCCCTCATTGGACTCCTGGGCCACCTAGCTCTTGGCCCCAGAGATCAGGTCTGGACTGTCTGAGCTAGGGGCTGAAGGAGGCCACCACCCAGCATCTTTGGACACCGAGGGTCGGGTCTGTGGTGGGGACAGGCCTAGTAGACTGAATACTTAGGGGACCAGCAGGGGACAGCGCCCAGCCTGCCCAGCCTCAGGCCTGGAAACATTGGGTTCTTGGCAAATTTCCCTTCTGGCCACGCCCCCTAAGTTAGAAATCTCTGACACCGCCTGCCTGCCTTGCTCCTGTTCCCACCCTACACT